GATTTCCTTTGTTGCAGGGCGAGGACTTAAGATCTTTATCAGAAATTGATGATCTTGCAAGTACCTTTTCAAAGGTCTGATACCGAGCTTTGGTTTATTAAAAAATATAAGAGCTCTACTTACTGTAGAATGGTTTGTTAATTTCAATCATAGTAATGGGGAGAATGTTGTTTATGTGCAACGATTCCTTTTTTCTTAAAGAGCTAGTGAACTAGTTGCCAGCATAAGGTGCTTATTCTTTGGCTGCCACAGCCTTTGTCATTGGTTGTCTATGGCAACCTTTGGACGATGCTTTATGATGGAACTTTTTGTTGGTGTTTGAAGTAATATCTTGTGTGATGCTTCATCTCTTGGAATATTTTGGGTATGGCGACACAGTATTGATCATATGATAGATGTGTCTAATGGAGTTGTTCCGGCATTGGGGACCTATGATGCTTCTTTTTTGCAATTATACTAAACTGTATGTTCTACTCGCAGTTAAACAAGGTGGTCAGTGGCCCAAGAGTTGCAGGAGTAATTGGTGAAAGAGGATCTAGGGAAAGTGAGTATGTCACTATATATATATATTCACCGCTATCTTATTTCATTGAAGTATTTGTTTACATGATGTAATAATACTTAGAACATTGTCATTCATTTCAAATTTACGTGCTCATACCTTTTTGCTTAACATAATGCCCTCTGAGCAAGCGTACTTGTTAAGTTGAAATGCTGCGATGCTTTACCATATCTGCTAAAAAGAAAACGAGAATTTAAATTATGCCATTTGTAAATTTTAATAAATCTAGTGTTTGAATTTGAAGATTGCTTTGTCAAGCCTGACCAGCCTTTCCTGGTTTCTTTAACCTTGGTATGACTTATACTATTTGCCCCATTCCTAGCTTCAGCTTTCGGATTTTCGTCATCCCTTGCAGGTTTAAGTTTGGCTTCAGTACACTTTTGCATCTCTATGCAACCTTAAATGAAAGGAATTATGGCATGCATATTGTCTATTTCAAATTCAATCTGCCATCTGTCATGTGAGAATGGTCTTAGGTGGCCTCTGTAGTATGGCTGACTCTCATGTATTTATCGTGAATCTTGATGATGAATCTAGTCTCAAGTTTGGTCACATATCCATCTTTTTTGACATTACAAGTCTGCCTTTTGGGGTTTAGGTGTTTTAACTCTTTTCCTGCTAGGAAAGGATCTCCATTTTTCAATATGGTTGTAATTTAATTCTTACTTCTTCTGGACTGGACTATCTTATAGGTTCTGCCGCTGCTGAGTGGGCACAAGGAGAGGATAACATTAACTGGTTTCATCGCAATGTAGTGGACTCTGATAGCACTTTAGAAGGCAAAAGATGGTCATCACAACCATATTCTTCCGCTCACATTATAGATTCAAAGACTCTGTACAGGACGTCATCTTACCCAGAGCAGCAGCCGCAGCAGCAGCAGCAGCCGCAGCCTCATTATTCAAGCGAACCAATATTAGTGCCAAAATCATCTTACCCTTCGTATCCTCCTCCCGGTGGAGTATCACAGCATGCTTCTCCAAATTATAACGCAGGCCACCTAAATGTTCCTCATCCGGCTGGTGGAACCCAGGTGGCATTATCTGCACCAAACCTTCCTCCTTTTTCTAATTCTCAGGTCCAGTTGACCACCTTGCATCATGGCTCCCAGTTTGCCGGGAATATGCCACCTGGTTTACCACTTAGTAGCCGACCACCAAATCAATGGGCCAGTCAGATGAACTTGTATCCTGGAGAGCATCCAGGTCGAATAAACAGCGGATTACAGCAGCAATTTCCTCATCAAAATGGGTTAGTTCCTCCACAATTAATGCCTCAACCACAACCACAACCACAATCCCAGCAGCATTGGCTGCACCGTCCAATGCAGCCGCCTTTTGGGCATTTGTCAGGGATGCAATCCCAAATATTTAACCCCCATCTTGCTTCGTCTCCACCGTTAATGGGCAAGTTTGATGCGATGTTCGATCTTGCTGATTTAAGTGAGCAAAGACTAAAATTAGCTCAGAAAGGTAGACAGGATCTGCGTTTTTCTCAGCCGGGATTTGATTTCAATGGCCCGAAGAGTGGTAGTGGGTGGCCGAGATTTAGATCCAAATATATGTCAGCTGATGAGATAGAGAATATCCTCAGGATGCAGCTTGCAGCAACACACAGTAATGATCCGTATGTGGATGATTATTACCATCAGGCTTGTCTTTCTAAAAAATCTGTTGCTGCAAAGTTGAAGCATCATTTCTGCCCTACTCATCTCAGGGAACTCCCTCCTCGAGCCCGCACGAACACTGAACAACATGCTTTTCTCCAGGTCGATGCTCTAGGGAGAATTTCCTTCTCATCAATTCGGAGACCTCGTCCTCTTCTTGAAGTTGATTCGCCTAATTCATCTGGTGCAGCTGGAAATACTGAGCAGAAAGCATCTGAGAAGCCCCTGGAGCAGGAACCAATGCTTGCAGCAAGAGTGGCTATTGAGGATGGGCTCTGTCTTCTTCTTGATGTGGATGATATAGACCGATTCCTGCAATTCAATCAGGTCCCAGATGGTGGGGCTCAGTTGAGACGCAGGCGGCAGGTCCTACTGGAAGGCCTTGCCGCATCTCTCCAGCTGGTCGACCCTCTTGGCAAAAATGGCCATAGTGTTGGGCTTGCTCCCAAGGACGACCTTGTGTTCTTAAGGTTGGTATCTCTTCCTAAGGGTAGGAAACTCCTCGCAAGGTACCTTCAGCTCCTTTCTCCCATTGATGAGCTCATGAGGATAGTTAGCATGGCCATTTTTCGTCATTTAAGATTTTTGTTTGGAGGACTTCCTACTGACCCTGGAGCAGCAGAATCAACAAATAAGCTTGCAAGGGTGGTTTCACATTGTGTGCGTGGCATGGATCTTGGTTCACTGAGTGCCTGCCTTGCAGCTGTGGTCTGTTCTTCAGAGCAGCCACCCCTCCGTCCCCTTGATAGTCCTACTGGAGACGGCGCGTCCCTAATTCTCAAATCAGTTCTTGAGAGGGCAACCGATCTCCTAACTGATCCTCATGCTGGCACCAACTATACCATCACTAATCGACAACTGTGGCAGGCTTCATTTGATGAGTTTTATGGTCTTCTCACCAAATATTGTGTAAATAAGTACGACAGCACAATACAATCACTGCTAATGCAAGCCCCAACGACAAGCATGCCTGTAATTGGTGCCGATGCAGCTAAAGCTATTAGTCGGGAAATGCCAGTTGAGCTGCTACGAGCAAGTCTCCCCCACACGGATGAGCACCAGAGGAAGCTGCTGTTGGATTTTGCTCAAAGATCAATGCCTATAGTTGGATTTAACAGCCATGAAGGAGGGAATGGTGGTCAAATCAGCTCTGAGTCGGTGTTAAGTTAATAGAATGCTGCACCAGAGCTCCAACTTATGTACGGCATTAGCGTTATGGAAAAAGCTGTGTGCATGGCATGCATCAAAAGGGTCTATGTTCCCTCGTTTTTTCGTATTATACAAGTGCATCTCAATAAGCCTGGACAGGAGGGAGCCATGGCAAAGTATGAAGTGGGAGTCGAGGGGCACTCTTCATTCCCGGTCAATTTAGTTCCGTTCGAGTACTTGTTTTTAGCTTCTTAATTTCTTTTCTCTGGGGAGACTTTCCAGCAGTTTTATGCTTGTACCCAACTTCAGATTTCCTTTCTTCTTTCTGCCCCTTAATTAGGGTAGTGGTTTCCAGTTTTTGCCAACTTAGGAGCGTGTTTTGTTGCTCTGTTTTGAGATACTGATGTGGGTCCTGAGCAAGGGGGTTTGGTTTTGTACAGGGCTGGTGTAGAAGGTATCCCGCGTTCCTGTACCTATTATTCCAAGGAGGTGGGACCGGTTTTGGGGGTTTATATCCCTTTAAACTTCAAGTAGCAAATGGTGGGGTGGGGGAGATATTGATGGTTCGTGGCGGTTTTGTGATAAGGTCAAGTTTAGGATTTACTTCTGAAATAGCCAGTATTGCTAAGGTCTTCTCTTGATTTTTGCTCGTGTGTATTCCTACACATTTCTTACCTCTACTGTGTTGTGCTGTTAAATCTTGATCTCTGTACCGTTCAATACGTTGAAGCTCTTGGGATCAATTGCAGTCAGTTATATTTCCGCATTGTTTTTTACGCAAATTTCTCAATTTTTGTTTGGTGAGCCACGATGGAGTCTGTCTTTTTCGTCGAAAATTCTCTTAATGCAGTTCACTGATTAGGCTGTGAGTGCCAAAGATGGGATGAGGACATCAAAGCAAAATCAGAGGGAATCCTTTCTATGCATAACACATCTGCATCCAAATATGTTGAAAAGACATCTGATCTTTCTTCTTTTTCGTATTGGTGGGCTGTTCTACCCTATTAAAGTGTGTGCCCGGGCATAATGGGAAAAGGGTTTGGTCGGTGATGCTAGGAGGCGGATGGATCAATCAAAATAATGCCACCAATGTGTTTCTATTCAATAACCGGAAATGTGGACGATGCTCTTGATTGCTTGTAACATCCGACCGAGAGAGTAAAAAGAACGAAACTAGAGCCTCTTCTCTTGATTTTTGCGCGCGTGTACTCCTACACATTTCTTACCTCTACTGTGTTGTGCTGTTATATCTTGATCTCTGTACCGTGCAATATGTTGAAGCTCCGGGGATTTAATCACAGCCAGTTATATTTCTGCCTTGTTTTTTACGCTTTGTTTCTCAAGTTTTGTTTGGTGAGCCGCCATGATGTTGTCTTTTCCTTGGAATTTCTCTTAATGCAGCTCCCTGATTAGGCCGTGAGTGCCAAATATGGGATGAGGACATCAAAGCAAAATCAAAGAGGGATCCTCTATGCATAGCACATCTGCATCCAAATATGTTGAAAAGACATGATCTTTCTTCTTTTTCGTATTGTTGGGCTGTTCTGCCCTATTAAAGAGTGTTCCCGGGTGTAATGGAAGAAGGATTGGTTGGTGATGCTAGGAGATGGACAGATCACAGACAAAGAATATGCTATGGATGTGTTTCTATTCAATAACCGGAAATGTGTACAATGGATGCTCTTGATTGCTTGTAACATCCGAGAGAATCAAAAGAATGAAACTAGAGCCCCTACTCAAGCGGGCTGAATCGGTGTACAACTGTGCTATGTACAATCTTTCACTTGCCGTCCCAACACAGACAGGACTTCTCGAGGAAGCTGCTTTGGTAAGTAAAATCTGGTCGAGTAAGCTGGCTCCCCATCAGATTATGCTAGTTGCTCCATGTGCTTCCTTTGCTTCAAAGACCTTTTGTTGAATTTCCTCCGTTGAAATGCCAAAATTTGTCTAGCCCACTTTGTAACCGCTCTTTTTCCAACTAGTTTGGAATTACTATCGCCTGCTCTGTGAAAGTCGTACAGAGGCAGCACGAACCATTTCAATTAGTGTTTCATCCAATTCATCAAGTTCGTCAGACTCACGCAGTTGACGGTAAGATGGAGCGACATGATTCGCCGCAGCTTCTGCCAATTTCCATTGAGACAAATTTGCAGCCATTTGGAGAATCTTAACGGACAAGTGTCTCGCAGAACACAGGCCATCGTCTACAATCCTAAAACACGCTTCCTGAATGTCTTCCAGGAGCCAGAAGTCCGCCAACCAAGAAAGTTCTACATACAGCTCTAGCTGGTGTAGCTTCTTCTTCGTACCCATGTTACTCCATAAACAACCTGATGGGGGTTCAGGAAGCTTAGAAGAATAGAACCAACTTACTAGTTTAACTAAAGCTTCCCAACTGACAGGTACCTTTAGAATTTGTGATTGGCTGCAGAATGACAGTACATCGTAGTGAGATAACCAAAAAAGTCGAAAGTTTCACAAGAGTACGCAAAATTTTCCACCTTGCACTTGAGGAGAACTAATTGCGAATCAAAACCCCTTTCAAATAAATCCGCCACCCTCAACACAAACACGAAAGTCATTGCTCAGTTCCCCCCCCCCGAACACTTAATTGGACAAGTCCCTTGACAAAACATGAAAATTATTCATAAAGATAAAGTAGGTCCACCAAGTTATAATTTCTGGCCCCAAAAAGGACCCAGTTATAATTGGATTTGAAACAAGGAGGTTTAAGAAAAGGTTTAAGGATCGCATAAATAAAGCAGAATCACAATTCTGCTATTGCTAGAATTCTCATCAAGAAAAATGGGAAGTGTTAATATATTCGGACTTGCACTTAATTATTAATGACAGATTTCACGACAAAGATTCACATGGCTACTCCAGCTTGTAACATGGGACAAAATCATACTTCCTTCTCCATGCTGACTAGATGTTTAACAATGGATGACAAATTTTATGACATATGGGTAATTCAGTTTGTAACTGTAGATTGAATCACGGAAATGATATCTTCCTCCATGCTGACAAGACGCATAGGGATTTGATATCAATATCCATACATAGCAAAGCGCACTAGAAATATCAAAAAAAGACGTAACACAAACAACCACGTACCTTTCTTGCATTCCTGATTGCAACAATGCCTGCAGATAATCACAGCTCGCCCATAAAATTATCCGGTGAACATGCATGTGTGGAACAGACATAGAGCAAATAGAGCATGTCCAACTCAGTTCCGTTGCTTTAGATTCCAAGATTATGTCCCTGAGACAGAATGAAGCTCCCTTATAGCTAACAGGAAAGAGTGGGCAGGTTGCACAATGTCATATTCAGGATATCTTAATCTAGTAACAAATTGAGGAGGTATAAAAAGTTCTGCTAAACAGCACAAAAAGTGATGCATGACTAGCATTTGACTTTTTGCCCAGGATGCGCGACTAGCAGTTTGATGCCTTCAATGAAGCAAGATACTCTGTTAAGCCCAGAAACAAAAGTCAAACACAAGTTTTGGAGCACTAAGGTACCGGAGATCCATGGTGCTGAATGTAAACAAAATGCGAAGACGAAGGGCTCCATCTGAATGCTGGTTAAGTGTGCTAATGATTAATACAACTAAAGCCAAAAGACTTCATAGCCAAAAGAAGGAACTAAAATCGAATGACTGTGCCCAAGTAGTCAGATCAGAGGTGTCGATCTAATTGGCTACTCAAGTATCCATCAAACGAATGATTTAAAGCATGAGAGAGAGAGAGAGAGAGAGAGAGAGAGAGAGAGAGAGAGAGAGAGAGAGAGAGAGTGGGGGAATGATTTAAAGCATGAGAGAGAGAGCGCAGGGGCCTAAAACTTACCAAAACATATGCTTCCCTTGACCAAGAGCTGGTTTGAGATCAAAACTGGGAATCTCGATGGCCCATTCAGGAAATCTCCTCGAAAGTAACTCAGATAAGTGATGCAGGCCAGAGTGTCTCGCAAGAATTTTTAATCTCTTTACAGTATCTTCTTCAACTTGTACATACCCTGAATAGACATACTCCAACAATTTCTCCAGTTCTAGGCGATTAACATGAGAAGATAACCGAATCTCTTTTCGAAACTTTCCACGCCAGTTATCACTGTCGTTAGTGACTGAAGAATTATCAAATGTTCCCCCATCAAAAGGCTGTTCTGGAGGCAATAACAAAGGACACCTAACCATAAGAAGAACCCCGTGGACACAGAATGAAGTACCATTACCAAGAATCAGCTCTATATCTGCGTAATCCTCGTGACTAAGTGCTTTCCCTATTTTTACCCCTCCTTCTGAAGGAAAACCGAAGTAGCTAAAGTAGGTCAGTATGTATGAAGCAAACCACCTCGCCCCACAATTAGAAGTGTCCTTGCAGATTTCCAGAAGCTTGTTAACTAGTTCAGTCTTGACATTTTCTGTCTGAAGAACAGCGATGATCGAACATTTACTTTTGGAGCCAGAATGATGAATTGACACTGACAGGCCCCACAAATTATGGAACAAAATGACATCTTTTCCTTCCCACTCTTCTAAACTCAGAAAACAACAAGCTCTACCAGGCAAGTTGCTCTTGAGATGTAGGGCATAATTTGACCTTGGTATATAGAATGATTCAGATGAGCGTCCCATCATATAAGACAATAGGGCCTTTGAGCCTTCCACAATAAACCCTTGATAATGAGGCAAAGCCAAAAAGCATGTCAAACCTATCAAACTTATAACAATGTGAACCATATTTGGCATCCCAAGGTTAACTCCAAATGATGGGGATTTTAGTGTATAAAGCAATTGCTTTAGATACCTCTCACCGTTTGGATTTAGAACCTCACAAAGCATACTTCTAGCCTTTGATGAAATGTATTTGCAAGAAGAGAAAATCATCATTAGGACTACTCGCACAGCTGATTCACTTCTAAAGGTACTGATGACATCATCATGGCACAGCTGGTTCCCTCTACCAATAATGTCCTCAAAAGCTACACTAGAAAGAACATACATCGACAATTAGAAAGTTAAAAGAAAATACAAATTTAGTCAAAAGTGCAACCAGGAAAATACAATAAATAAAGAAGATGAAGAATGTATAATGCAGTGCGGTAAGATTACTAAAAAGAACTGAGCACCAAATATTAACGAAAACATACCACGCGGCCGCTGTAAGAACATCAAAATGAGCTTCATTTTCAGAAAATTTGGGATCAAAATCTTCAGCATATCTTATTGAAAGCCACCCAAGAATGTCCCATACATATGGCCTTAAAACCAGAAAAGGATTATCAATGAGATTCTCCCGTGCTATGGCAATTTGCTCCTCCAGTGTGTATGTGTGATAAGAAGGATACTTCCCAACAAAGTTCGGCAATAGAATATCAACAAGAACTTTGTCGATCCCCTTTTTCCAAAAGTAGAGACGATGCTTCCCCGGCCAACGAGTAATCATTGCCAAACGACATGCTTCAATCATCAAAGGAATCTGGTCATTAGCACCTTTTCCCTCTTTCAACTTCCCCTCATTGATTGCACACACTATGGCTTCTACAATTGGCTCACAACACATGCTGACCACTCTTGAGCATCCCTCTTCTGTCAACTGAGCCCAACAACAGAACAAGGTCATCCATATGACTCATCACAGAGGAAGAGGATGAAGCAATCTTGTCATGAGCACATAAGAATATACTCGAGAATATCCAGCAAAGAAAACCCAAAGCATTACCATTAAACATTGTGCCAGTTTAAATCCCTCAATTCGAACTGACAGCGGGTTCGAACTTCCCATAAAGCGTACCATTGTGCCAACAATAGTTTCACCATGTTCCAGAATCTTCTTGGCACCATAACTGCATAGAGCTGTTACACAGTATCAGCAATTTTTACGACAGAAGAATGTTAGGCCTAGCAGCACAAGTATGAACGCTTTCTAACTGTACAGCAAAGTGTCAAAGTACCTGTGGCGGTATACAACTTCAAAAGAGCAACTCCAAGAGAAGGGTCGGGGTTTACACAGAAATCCTCCAACATGTTCATAAAACTCACATTACTCCACACTTGATACCTGGATTGAGGCCACCTCAACAGTATTATGGCCAATAGAGCTAACATCTCTTGGAAATACACATTTGAGCTAGTGCTGGCAGAGAAATTTAGTATATTTTTAATTAGGTGGGTTGTGATATCTTCTTTATCGAGAACTTCCCAGACTTCATTCTCCTTCTTTTTGCTCAAATTTGAAAGCATAACACTCAAGGCTCTGGAAGATGGAACAGCAACTTGTAACTGAGGGGAAATTGACAAGGATGACAAAGGATGAACAAGATCTGGAAGATGAGGTTGCAGAATAGAAGTTGCTAAGACACTGGCCAACTTGCAGACTGCATCCGCCGCTATGCTAGTTGTGGCTTCACTTTTTTGGTGAAGAATACCCACCAATGCCCCGACTATATCTTCAGCTGAATCCTGAGAAGATAAAGTGAATGTGAACAACACAAAGGGGATGGGGGAGGAGACCACGAAATGCCAATGTGCATCAACCTAAGTTAGAAACAATCCCTACAATAGCAAGAAGCTCAAAATGACCGAACTCAGCTATAGCGCTGGTGATCCACTGAAGGAGATTGGCATAATCCATACGATAGACAAGCGGAACATTGGAACTTCCGTTATTCTTGCCGAGAACAATCCCAAGAGAAAAATTGAAAACTCTCAACATGGTCTTAGGGCGTAAGCGCACAATGTTGCCAAGGAACTAGAACATTCGAAGAAACTGAGAAAACTATCCAATTTAGTCAGCATCCTCAATTGAACATCAGCACTAATGAGATAACCAAAAGCGAAGTAGGTACGATATAACTCCATTCATTCAGAAACTATAAGCTCCTAAAGAACGCATATTTCTTTGTAAAGACTGAAAAGAGAGCAAACCCATCAATGCAAGTTTAAAAAAAAGCAGAGAAATAAGAAGAAAAAAACAAATCGCAAATCAGGCAGCGAAACCTCGTCAATCCATAAAGCACGATCACTCATCGAGCGCCCTCACCTTCAGAAGCGGATTACCCGACGTCTCCTCCGAAACGCAATCGAGGAAAGCAACAATCGAGCGAAGCACGTATCTCTGCGTCTCGATGTCCCTGCACTCCCATCTCGTCCGGCCTCCATCGCGACATCTACACGCACAACGAAGGATTCACGATTACAACCGCAGTCAACTCCGCGAACCAGACCACGAGCTTCCCTCGAAGCTCCCCGTCCTACGGGTTGACGCTCTCCTTCCACAAAAAATCAGCATCGACGACGAGGAGGAGGAGAGAAGAAGAAGAAGAGGAGGAGGAGGAACCTGGTGCAGAGATGAAGAGCGTCGCGGAGGCGGTGGTGGAGGGTGTTGAGCTGGACGCTTCTGGTCTCTGCCCTGCGCTTGCTCGCCTTCATGTCTCTCTGCTCGCGAAGCCGGGAGGGAATTCGAGAGCGCAACGACCTCGAACTCGACGGGAACGCTCGCCTGGAATTCGTGTCGCTCGAGGGAGGAGAAGCGCGATCGATCGATCGGTGACGTCGCCGACCTGCTTTCCGTCTCGTCGGAGAAGTATGATCTCGCCGCCAGATCGCTCCCCGCCGCAATGGGCTCTTAATTCGGGCCCAGAGCCAACGTACAGCGCGTGCTGACACGTGTTCCCTGAGCGCGCGACGCTGAGCCACCCAAGTCTTGTTTTTTCGTGGAGAAAGATGACGCAAATAATCCATAAACTTTTATTTATATTATCGTCCCTGAATTAATATACAACGTAATTTATGAATTGTTAGTCTATTTAATATAGTTACTGAACTTTTGTACTTGTTTAATTTAATTCATGAAATGTTCAATGTAATATTTTTATTAATTTAAATTTAAAGACTACATTTAGTTAAGGGAATATATTGAATATGTATTAAAAATTTAGAGAATATATTGAATAAATTAAAAATTTATATTAAATATTATATTAAAATTAAAATTTATATTAAATAAATTAAAAAATTAGAGATCATATTACGTTAGATCAAAATTCAAGAAGTAACCTTTTCTCTTCTCCTTCCTTGGCGCACTGCACTTTCTCTATAGGATAACAGTGGAGCGAGCTGTGGACGGGATTTGTGGCTCCATTTTCTTCACCTCAGAATTAAAAAAAAAAGAAAGAGAAAATCGAGTGACTCGAAAATGTACCCAGGTAATACTGCAAAAGAGCATCTTCGTCTAGATTTTTTGTGGATATTTCTTGGGCCTGCCTTTCGTGTCGATTCTCTCGCAAACCTGAACTAGAACTCAGCGTATGTGCCTCAACTTCTGTTCCCCCTCCTCCTTCGTTTGCAATCCCGATTGGTTGTTCCTGCAGAAGGTTTTTCTCCCAACAAAAGCTATCATTTCTTCCTCCTCCTCCGTGCATGTCTGACTGCAGTAGAGGTGGATTGCGTACTTTTTACAATTCAAGATTTCTGTTGTAAGTTCCGTTGAAGTAAAATGTTTGATCAGGCTTGAGCTGGGTTGTGCTTTGATTATCAATGGCGATTCTGCTCAACTTAATGTCTCCTGTCTCAAAGCCATCCTTGGGATACACAAGAAAGTCTGGTGGGTTTTACTCCCATGTGCCGAATTTGCACTCCTTCTCTCTGAGCAAGGGCTTTGCCAGAGCTCTGGCATCTACCCAGATCACCATTTCTTCCAAGGACTCCGTTTCTGCGTTGCCCAATTGGAGGCTTGGCGGCAAGACTGATCCAAGAGGCAAAGACCTCAGACTCAATGATGCATTCCAGAATTTGGATGACATGGTCGCGAAGGGCCAAAAGCCTGATGTCAACCAGGCAACTCAGCTCTTGTATGATCTGTGCAAGGCCAATAAGTTGAAAAGGGCAATCAGGGTCATGGAGATGATGGCCAGTTCAGGAATCATTCCCAATGCAGCTTCATACACTTACCTGGTGAACCATTTGTGCAAAAGGGGTAATGTCGGGCATGCGATGCAGCTCATCGAGAAAATGGAAGAATATGGGTACCCGACCAACACGGTCACCTACAATTCGATCATCCGGGGTCTTTGCATGCATGGGAAGTTTAGCCGGAGCCTTCAGCTCTTAGATAAATTGATGCGGAAGGGGTTGGTTCCGAATGCCTTCACGTACTCGTTCTTGCTTGAGGCTGCTTATAAAGAAAGAGGGGTGAAAGAAGCGATGAGGCTTCTGAACGAGATTGTTGCTAAGGGCGGGAAGCCGAATTTGGTTAGTTATAATGTTCTGTTGACTGGTTTGTGCAAGGAAGGCAAGACAGAAGAGGCAATCAAATTCTTTAGGGATTTGCCGTCAAGAGGGTTCAGTCCTAACGTAGTTAGCTATAATATTCTGTTGAGGAGTTTGTGCTATGAAGGGAGGTGGGAGGAGGCGAACGAACTTTTAGCTGAGATGGATGGTGGGGATCGTGTACCTTCCATAGTCACTTACAACATTTTGATCAGTTCGCTTGCCCTCCATGGCAAGACCGAACAAGCTCTGGAGGTACTGGAGGAAATGGCGCAAGGACAGTTCAAGCCCACGGCCACTACCTATAATCCGATAATTGCCCGGCTTTGTAAAGAAGGGAAGGTGGATCTCGTAGTTAAATGTCTAGACCAGATGATTTTTCGGCAATGTAATCCTAATGAGGGAACTTACAATGCAGTTGCTATTCTTTGTGAAGAGGGTAAGACACAGGAGGCGTTTTCCATTATTCATAGCTTGCGAAACAAGCAAAGTTCCACGACGCGCGAGTTCTACAAGAGCGTCATTTCAAGCTTGTGCAGAAAAGGAAACACTTGTGCAGCTTTCCAGCTTCTTTACGAAATTACAAAGCACGGGTTTACTCCTGATTCATTTACGTACTCATCTCTGATCAGAGGCTTATGCCTGGAGGGTATGCTAGATGAGGCCATCGAAATCTTTGGTATAATGGAGGAAAATGAGCAGAAGCCAGACGTAGACAATTACAATGCGCTTCTGCTCGGTTTCTGTAAGTCGCGGAGGACGGATTTGTCCTTGGAAGCTTTTGTGATGATGATTGAGAAAGGGAACATGCCTAATGAAACAACTTATACCATTCTGGTGGAAGGACTTGCTCACGAAGACGAGATGGGGTTGGCGGCAGAAGTTTTGAAAGAGCTGCTAGCGAAGCAATTCCTGAGCCAGAGCACTGTAGAAAGACTTGTTATGCAGTATCGCCTGGAAGGTGTACCTACATGAAATTATAGATAGCCACTAGTAGCAAAGAGAACTGAATAGCGGCCCTTTCGGTTACCTTAGTCGTATGTGGTATCATCCTGCAGGAACAAGCTGTTTTGGGCCAGTCGGATTAAGAGCATACTTATCCTGTGCATTTTTTGTTGGGACAAAGACTGCTTTCGGCGATTTTACTTGATCATGCTTCTAGAATGTATAGAAGAAGAACAGCACATGTTATTCTTTTGACGCTCATTGTTTGTCTCAGGTACTCCTGTATGTTGGCCAAGCTTGTAAATGCTGCTAAGGTCTTGGGCAATGTTGACTTGTTCAGTTGTTTCCATCCCAGAAAGTTGCCCTAGAGATGAGCATTTCGATGGTCGGTGCACGGGGACTTTCCCAAGAAAAACGACAGCAAGACAATTACGCAGAGGTCGTAACATTGAGTGATGAGAAAGTAGCGCATTCCTACGGCTGAAGCAGCATGAATACCATGTAATGTTTGGTCTTGCATCTGCCTTGGAAATTCATGGATGTGTGCTGGTCGATTCGTACCATACTTTTGATAACATTTAGTTACATTTTGAAGTTTGAACCACGGTGTCCATCAGGGATGGTGCTTTGCAAGTGAAATCAGTGCCATCCATAAGGCAAAAGAGAGGGTGTCTGAAAACTCTCTTCCATTTTCCGTCAGTTTATTTGGAACTTCAATGCTAACATCCTTCATTTTCCCTTTGCCTTATCTATTTTGTTCGTACCCTCACGATAGGCTAAGGCGTATTTGGGGCTTCAAGTCGTATCGAATTTCCCGTCGCAAATAAATAATTACGACAATTACGAAAAGAATGCGATCATTGTAAATGTTCTTTTCTTATATTTCTAAAGTTTTTTAAGGCGATCTAATTAAAAATTTATAAAACATCTGATTTTGAGTTTCAAAAGTTGAAGCAAAATCGGTGAGATGCTGGCCGAAGCCATGACACCGTGCCGTGGGACGAATTCAGTGTCTTAGACTTTAGAGACGGGTCTTATTTAATTTCATCTTCGCCGCCCTTGGGTATCTTCTATTTATTTTATTTAGGGCGCGAATGACAACATTTCTCTTCTTCGGCCTTATTTCTGACTAGAAATTAAAAAAATCTATTTCTCTTTTCCGGACAAGTTTTTGAGCAAAAAGTTGAGTTTGATAATGATACAAAATTTATGCTCCCAGAATAGAAATTTGATTGATAATGACGCAAAATTTCTATTCCCGCAAGCGAGCAGCGGTGGTGATGGGCGACGGCGGATGGCCGGCGGCGGTGGCAAATGGCAGGCGAAAGGCGGCAGACGGCTGGCGAGCAGCGGTGGCAACGGGCGACGGTGGATGGCCGGTGAGCGGTGGCGCTGGCGGACGATCGACCAGCCAGCAAACGGCGGTGGGTGGCGGCGGATGGCCGGCGGCCAGCGGTGAGTGGGCAACGGTAAGCTGCAAAGGTGAGTAATAAAAGAGAGTTGTTATTTCTGTTTTTGTTCCAGAAATAGAAAAGTAAAAAAATTTAAATTCTCATTTCTGTTCCAAATCTATTTTTGGGCCAAAATTTGTCCTATAAATAAATTAAAAAAATTTATTTTACCAAACAGATTTATGTTCCAAACCTGATCCCGGGAACCAAAAAATAGAAAAACAGGAAAACAGAATGATTATCATTTGCGCCCTTAAAATTGTTTACTTATTTTTTCATTATTAAAAAAAAAAACATGCTCACTTCTCAAATTTACACAAGAGTATATTGCAAAAAAAAAAAGAGTATATTGCTAGTTTTTGCAGCCAAAACATTTTGTCATACGTAGATACCTAAGACTAAGGGTGTGAATGATAACCATTCTATTTCTCTGTTTTTCTATTTTTCTATTTCTAGGAACAGGTTTGGAATAAAAATCCGTTTGGTAACGCAATTTTATTTTTCTATTTCTAAAACAAATTTTTACTCCATAAATAGGTTTGGAATATAAATCAGAAGTAAAAAAAATCTCATTTTCTATTTCTGGAACAAAAATGAGAAATAAAAACTCTTTTCATCGCTCGCCCTCGCTATTAGCCAACTACTCACCCACCGCCCGCCATCATTGCCGGTCATCTCTAGCCGCCGCCGACCGCCTCCCACCACCGTCGTCCATTGCCGTTCGCTGCCGTCCTCCGCCACTGGCCATGTCCCACCGCCTCCCAACGTCGTCTGCCATAACCCGTTGGCGGCAATCCATCGCTACCTGCCATCTGCTGTCCTTTGCCACCGTTCAACGTCGTCCGCCTCCCACCATTGGCCGCGGTTGTCCACCGCCGTTCACCACCGCCCGCCGACCACCTTCTGCTGTCCTTTGCCGCCGCCCGACATTGATCGCCGTTAGCCATCGCCGGCCACCTCCCGTTGTTAGCCGTTGCCCACTGGCCAACTCCCACCACCGTCCTTCGCCATCGGCCGCCGTCTGTAGTCTTGTGCTGTTGCGCAACGCTGGGCACCTCCCATTGTCGGCCGCTGCCCGCCGGCTGCCTCCCGCCACCATCCTCTGCCGGTCGCCTCCTGCCATCGTCCTTCGCCTCTGCCCATCGTCATCCACCGCCACCCGACACTGACCCACTCCCGCCACCGTTCTCCGCCGCTGGCCGCCGTCTATAATCCTCCGCCGTCGCGCGACGTCGACCACCTCCCACGATCGGCCGCCACTCTCCCGCCACCGTCCTCTGCCGCCGCCCATCGTCGTCCATTGCCACCCGACACAGGACACCACCTACCATCGTTGGCCACCTCCGGCCACCGCCCACCGATTGCTAGGAGAAATAAATTTTGTGTTATTATCAAACGAATTTTTTTTTCAAGAATAAAAATTGTGTCATTATCAAATGGGTATTTTGACAAAAAACTCATTCATGAAATAGAAATAGAAAATTTGATTTTTAGCCAAATATTAATTTCTGAAATAGAATGGTTATCGTTCGCGTCCTAACTTTTTGTCCATTTTCAATTTTCTATATTTATTTAAACGAAACTATTGAAAAAATTAGAGTACTTTTAAAATCCTACCTTGGATTTGAGCTGCAACAGTGACGAACGGTCTGTCGGACAATCGCCATGGAAACGGGTGACGCCAATTGCGATCCCAACGACGAGAGCGCAAGCGTCGTCGTCGTCGTCGTCGCCCCTCCGAATGCGGACAAGCGTGAGGCTCCCGAATCTTCTCATCAGGACGGAGGAGGCGGCGGCGGCGACGCGGCCGGCGATCGTAGTTCCGGCGACGCGGTCGCCAGGGGAATATCGTCCGTCCTGGTGTCCGTCATCAAAGACTTCGATTCCAGAGCTCAGGACACTCTCAAGAGCCAGGACCAGCTCTCCTCCTCCATCGATCGTCTCACGAGCGGTACTCGTTCTCTACTCCTCAAGATCGGCGTTCTTGATTCACATGGCTACGGCGAGATCGATCTGGTTTTTTCCAATCTCTTCACCCGTTCTTTGCTAGGTTTTTCCAAGTACTGTTGTTCAATATTGGTCTGATCATGGTTTAGCTAGGAGAGTTGAATACCTTCTCAGTTATGCAACTTTGATGATGTTCGTCGTAGCAATCAGATTATCGTGATTTTTGAGTTGGTTTGAATCGAATCGTCGTCATTTCCTTAGAAAGGGAACGAACGAATGCTGTTAAATCGAGTACTCTGCGTCATTCTCCGAGACAAACGATAGTTTTTCTTATGGGCTTTCAATGGATGGTTGACCCGAGCTACGCAAACGAAACCACGGCCTCTAATGACTTTGATTTGGAAGTTTTGCAAGTGTAGTGACCTGATTATGAACAATGAAGAAGTGGTCTAAGTAATATGTAATTTGTCTAAGCTTTAAGTTACATGATAAACAGCTCTTCTCCTTCTAACTGATTGCAACTTAAGGATGAATCTAGTTTTACAGATGGGAAGAGTTAGTATGTTGACGAACAGACAATCAGATATCTATGGGTAAATCATTACTAAACAACTGTATCTTACTTGTGCATTTTGGACTATACATTGCAACAGCGCTAGCCAATTTCTTTCTCCTCAAGTGCCATGTAGTTTCTTGGCCGAGCCTGCGACTAAATTAGGTAGTTCAAAATTGTTATGTTGAATTTTATTTTCTCTTTTCCGGCAGAGCTTGATCGGTTACTGGAAGATGCACCTTCGCCATTCACCATGCAACATGCTGCCAGGATCTCCAGCATTAGAAAGAGAGTGTCATCAATGAATGCGGTTTTAAGATCTATACAGCGGCGTGTTGACAACATTGACCGTATGCTATCAACAGCCTCGCCCCCCGGTATCCATTTTTTTATTGCTTACTGAATGCTCCAATTTGCTTCATAATCCTCTTGTGCCATTGGTGATGCTAGTTATTTTGTATAGCTTCCGAAGATCTTTTGTCATCACCATGCGTGTCCCCAGAGATTAAGGCTACCACTTTCTTGTGGCTGTTTCACTCAGGGACTTCTCGGAGAACAAGTAGTGCAGGCAACACTGCTGATGTTGCATTAGGGTGTCATAAGTTTAACTAAAAATAAGAAAAAGGTGCTAATCTTGAGCTAGGCGATCTTGCTAACATACTATTGGGGAATATATGAGCAATTACAGCTATAGCCCTATTTCACTTGTTTTTTGCAATGCTCGTCATACCCTCATTTCTGATCATTAAAGTAATTAACCAATACTCCGACCAAAAAAATAAAAAAAGTAATTAACCAATACACTGTATCTTTTCCCCTAGCAGTTGTTTGAGGATAGATTTACTCTTACTGGTTGCACTTCATGTTTTCTGTTGAGCTTGATGAATCAATTGTCATGTTCAAACTTCTCTCCTCAACATGGCTTGGTCTGGCCACTTGAAGATTCTTGAAAAAAGGGCGATATATCAATTTTGCTTTTCTTTGGGGCGAGTTGATTTTTTAAGGTTATTATGGTCAACCTGTATTCTGTTTCTGTTGCCAACTTCTAATGTGCGGATTTTGGATCATATCACCTAGGATATGTTGGAACATCACATCAATTGGATGTGGAAATTGTAATAACTAACTATGTGACCATTGTGAACTCAGGACCTTGCTTTTATTATTGTCTTATATGAATAATTTAGGTGGACGATAATACCACTCTCATGCTCCGAGGTATTAATGGGATCTTCAGCAGTATGAAGAACTCTAATCGAATAAGTGGGGCTATTGAAATGTTCTTGTTCCTTTTCCAAAATACACCAAACGGTTGAGTTAAATCCTTTCTATAGAACTTAGTGCCAGTTTGGGGAGTTTTTTTCTGGTTGAACTCCTTGCCTTTTGCTACCCCTTACTTAATTTTAAGGTGTATGGGCACAGGAAGTTTTCCAGCCTTTTGTTTTCATTTTTCAGTGAAAATGGATAGCTGATGGGGGAAGACATTTGACAGGATCATTTCAATTTACTGCACCTTTGATGGAGATTTAGGAATGTTATTTTTCTTTGCAGAGAAAACCACAGATGGAGTTTGACAATTTTGAGATTGCTGATGCTTCTGAGTACTCTTTGGGGTCAAACAACAGGTAGTTAGAGCTGAATCAACTTGTGCATGGACAGCGTGAAGTTCGGGGGGTAAATTTGCCTACCTAATCCAGCAAGATTATTCAAAAGTTCAGAGATTTGAGAATCTCAATGCCTTCACCGTGTATTACGGAAAAGGTGCTTTCCGAGGTTGTTCAGCCTAAATATGAAGCAACAAACGTTATCTTACCTGAAATTTTTCTATGCCTTCAGAGCTCCTGCATGTTGCAAATCCATGTAGGTTCCGTTCAGATGAGTGGCAGATTGGCAGATCAATAGAGTAGGACAAGCTGGTAGACTCAGTCTAGCTGTTGGTGACAATCCTGCTAGTTGTCTCTGATTTTTCTAGAACTGATCCTGCAAAGATCAACACAGTTACACTTTTTGCAGCAAGAATGGAATAATCGATCGAATGTGCATTCTATAGTTGTCTGCCCAGCATTCAACACAGCTTCGAGATTATCTGAGACAACGTAATGAATTTTCTCTCTGTTCCAATGGGCTTAGGCTATTTTTCTGGATCATACTTTGATTGCGGCATCTTAATGGCTTAAATTTGTTGAACTTTGCTCCGTCTTTTGTTGAATGTCTCGTGTTTGGCAGCGTTTTCTTTATTCTGGACTTACCAACAGATAAATGCTGGACAGCTTGCATGCCCTCAAGATTGTTAACCCCGACCAGGGGTTGCTCAGCTTCAGAGGCAGACCTCCATGCATACTTTCGGACAAAGAGAAGACTTTCACAATCTCTGTATCGACACAAATTAACCAAGAACTAAACTTGCGCTCGCGTCGACTCTTATATATTAAGTACATTAGGCGGTGACCTTTTCAGTCGACCTCTGGCAAGATAAGTTTTGCAAGTGGTACTCTCACCATGAAGGCTCGATGTATGTTTCTCAGGTAGCGAGACATCTTTTAAGCTGGAACAGGTGCAAGGTGCTGGCTAATGGTATAAGATTTTTCCTCGTCAAGGCCTGATCTACCTTGAACTCTGCGAATGACAATAGTCGATGACGTGGAATGGAATTTTGCGCAGAATTTGATATGATTTGTCGCACGTCGGGAGTATGTTTCGGTAGAAGAGCTTTATTCATACATCCTCTAATTTTTGAAAGTTAGGACGCATTGAAACATAGAGTGTACTTGGATAGGAAAATAAGATTACAGGGACTCCGCTTAGGTAAGGAAGTTCTGTTAGTGAATTGTTGGGGTAAAGAACCAACCAATCTTCGATTCCACGTTCAGAATGGAAACCTAATGTCTCTACATCATCAATTAAAAGATGTCACCTAACAGCGTTTGCATGCATGAATCAGTATTCCTCACGCCTACACTTTCTTTCTTCGCAGGAAGCGCCAACCACCTCTTTAAGCTGAATCGGTGAAAGCTGGTCATTAATTAAGGGTAAGTTGGGCTGTGCTCTTCTTTGTTTTACTCATCGTTTCAGCTTAGAAGCAATCTCTTGAGTCCTGAAAGGTGGTTTCATTTAGCAACATGAAGCTTCCACGTCTACCGAAACGACGAACAACGCATTGTTGAATCCCTTAATGGCATTTCGTCCCCTTGACTAACATTGCCATGCAATGTCATTGTCTTTATGATTTTGGATTCTTAATCGTCATTCTTTCGAAGATTTGTTGGAGGCCTTGGTAAGTTTAACACCCAACTTCTGTGTTTTAGGTCCTAGGAAATAGAGTGAGCGCAGAACAGATTACTTGTTAACTTGTAAGATAATCACCTAACAACAATAAATGCCATCCCAACAGTCATTTGTGTAATTTTCTAACCACTCCAAAGCTTAACCATGTCTGAATTAAGTCACATTTGTTCATGAAGAGCCGAATTATCCCCTATAAATATCGAATCCCTCTTGAGCTCCGTTATTCATCAAAAACAATTCACTCAAGATCAGCTTCATCTCCCAAGTCTCCCCAAGAGTCATGGCTTCTCGTGCTTACTTCTTCGCCTTCCTTGCAGCGGTTCTTGCAATCACAAGCGGCGGAATGGGCGAAGCTGCTCGCCCTCGTCGACTTCTGCAAGTGCCGGCCAGACCTACTGTTCCGACCATCCCCACTCCTCCCACCTTACCACCTATTCCTGCACTCCCAGGAGTGAATCCCCCTCTCCCGTCTCCTTCTCCTTCTCCTACAATTCCTACAATTGCAGCACTTACCACAATTCCTACGCTTGCGTTTCGACCCTTGCCATCATCGATTCCTCAGATCCGCCGGCGTCCCACCTTCCATTTCTTCTCGCCCCCGCCTCCGAGTCCGTGAACGACCGTCTTGATATCCACAGGACCAATAACAGCTGTGTCATCTACCCTCTTATGTAATGTTTAGTCTGTGATTGAAGCGAGAACGAAGATGGAGGGACAATAACTTTAGCAGTTCAGCATGGCCATGGTGTGCATCTGTTAGTGGATTGGTCTAGTTCACCTCTTTATAATGGGAATCTGTGGCTACAGATCCCATACATATGTATGCATTGTTTTCTATTGAATATGAGATAAACCATTCCTATTATTAATGCTCAGCTCTCTCGTTTCCTTTAAAGAAAACATGATATGAAGATGATATATATACACACATTTATCGGAACGGTAACACGTCGTGTACTCTGAGCATCTGTTATGTCCGCCCATCAATGGAGAAAACAATCTCCATATGCAGTATGGAATATAGCACGCGGGTGCAGCTCAAATCTAATCATCCATTGCTAACTCCTATCGCAACGTGCTGGTAATAATTGCTGCATTTTTATCGGTATACGCGATTGGAGAAAAACCGTTTTTTACGCAACCAGTCATAAAACGCGGTTGCCAAAACGATATCTTAACCCTGTTCGTGAAGAAAGTGTACTGTAACTTCCAGTGTCCCAAATGGAAGTCCGCAATCCTTTTACCACTATCGAGGAACATGGTAGGTAGGAACCCTTTTACGTTTTTGGTGTGTTTTTCGGGGCAAGAGACGCAAAAATCCCACTGCGAATCCTGTCTTGCCTAAATCCATGACGTGGGCTGAGCACGGCCCAGAAGTCCATCTCCCTCTCTCTCTCTCCACAAGCGCTGTTGGGCTTCGCGTTGCTGCTTAGAAAGAAAAGTAACCATGCTTCCATCTAATTCAGAAGAACGACTGCGTACTCTTATACACACACCCCACCCCCTCACTTCAGCGCTCGCCACCCAAAGGACCAACAGAGAGGAACAAAAAAAGGAACAGGTTTTTTTTTGGATTGATTTCGCATAAGAACATGAAAATACAGTAATCAACAGAAAAAAGGATGGTAGAAAACACATCTGTTTTTGGTGGGGGGAAGGAGGGAGTGCGTGAAAATGCCTTGTTTGGAAATAGGGATGGCGACGTCACACTGCCCAATCAAAAGCAAGAAAAAACGACGAAACACCCAACCCCACCCCCCACCCCCCCCCCCTCTGTACATCTGCGTCCTGCTCTGCCTCTCGAGTGGAAACTGGAAAACACTTTCTAGAGAGATCATCCATTGCCGTAACTCAGCATTTCTTTTCGCGACTCCCTTACGTAACGTCGTCGTGGTGGCGCACAGACCCTTTTATCGTTCCCGTTTCTCGAGAATGCTTGGCCAACCCTCCCCGACGTGGGAGGTAGAAAAATGGAGCTCCGCTTCCTTCTTCGCGGAACTGGTCCTGCTTCGATGCGAGAAGCTGGGACAAGCATCGGGTTCGGTTGAATCTAGAGAGCAGACGAGAAGGATTCGATCGGCCTCGGTTTCGCGCGGGAGAACTGTTCTCGAATCTCGATTCCAAACGTATCCTAGCATTTATAGGATTGAACTTGAGTCGCCACTTTATTGTGCGAATCTGAGCTACCAATTCGGTGCTTATGGACGCCAGTTTTGTTAATTTGTGTTTCGTATGGATGAATTGTTCGTATGTAACAAAACATGGATGCACTTCTAATGAGTATTATAAGATAAAAAGATGGTACTCCGACACGCGACACTTTAATTCCAGAGTATTTGTTCTGTTTTTTTTGCTAGTGCAGAAAACAATCTGCATAACTAGCTCGTACACGTAGAATCTAATGGATGCAATTAATAAATTCGAGTTATGTTCACGGTTAGATCCTATTGTGCTGATCCGAATCGAATTGGACTGACGGACCGAACCAGTAGAATCGACAATAATACTAATTCCTCTTGCACACTTGTTTTGACCAATTTTCGTGTGATTAGTTTTGAGCAAATATCACCAAAAATCTCAAAATATGCCCGTTGTCACATAAATACCCTAATTTTTTTTTTGTCACGGAAAAACTAATATACCATCTATTACAGTTCCATTCGGGGTATATTTATCACACCGATCTAAGATCAGGGTTTGCTGTAACACAAAAAAAAAAAGTTTGAGGTATTTGTATTACGATTGGCAAGTTTAGGGTTTTTAGTGACACAAAAAAAGTTTGAGGTATTTGTGCCATCGTGTCCATAGTTTGGAGGTTTTTTTATGGTATTAACCCCTTTTTTTTCCTTTTCTTTTATGTGAAGAATTCTTCTGAATTTTACTTGTTAAAGACCAGAAAAAATAACTCTCCACATATTTTGCACAGTGGAAAATGGACAACACTTCAATTTGCTTTATAGGTCTTGGTATCCGTTTCTCTTCCTTCTTAGAACTCCCCAACTTGAACGAGGGGGATAATTAAAGGCGGGGCATCCGAGGATTTAAACTTCACCAAAGTTTAAAGAAATTAAAAAAAAAAAACCAATTCCCCGATTGACCCCGGAACCGGCCGGTTTCCTAGTTTCACAAATAAAAACTGATGTTGATAGGGTGGGTTTTAGATTTTAGGGTGTGGGAATCGACCGATCCTAAAACTGATGGCCCCTAAAGCTTGACGGTGGATCGAGAATGGCTCAAAAGTTAATGGGATAAGTACATCAGAAGTCCTAAATTTCTAACGTGCAACTGAATCCTACAAAATTTCTACCAAGAAAATTGAATTATAAAATTTGAAAAAAGTGCAATCAAATTTAAAATTTTGTCAAATTAGTGCAATCAAATTCTTTCATTAACTACATTCAATTTGACTGACGGAAAATATTGGCGTTGCTTTTTTATTATTTTCTCTATCCTATGTGGCGATGATGTGGTTCTTTAGTCCAAAACCGATTTTTTATTCAAATTTTATTTAAATTAAATTAAAAAATAAGCTAATTTAAAAAAAAAAAAAAAAAGAGAGAGAGACATGAGGGACCAGCAGCCAAGGCTTGCCGCCGCTGCCCCACCATAGCCGGGAAGGACCGGCGAGGGAAGGGAATGATCGGCGTGGGTCATCGAGTCCCGCCCAATGATTGGCAACCCTCATAGCGGCCGACCCCTGCCAATGAAAGCCCTCGGCCAAGTTTGGGCGAGGGTCGACAATCCTTGCCTATGATCGGCGAGGATTGCCGGCCAATGTCCGGGGCCCGGCGACCCCTCGCCAGCTATCCCCCACCCTCGTCGCCTTGTTTCCACGTCTCTTTTTTTAATTAAAAATAGTTTTTTTTAAAATTAAAATTAAATAAAATTTGTATTAAAAATCA